TGAAGTACAGAAATACACTCCAAGACAGGAAATCTGACAGCAGTTATGAGGAACCATGTCACAGGGAAGTGGGCAAGGGTCTCGAGCAGCCCTGGGGAGAATCTGAACTCCAATCAAGGCTTTCATCATTAATAGCTTGTAGGTGCAAAGACACAAATCACCCAACTACATTTGTATATACGACAAGATACATTTGGAAAGTTGGTCTAACAAAGAGTATAAGAGCCCCAGTGAAGAGGGGGCAAAGACATACTACCTCCTGGGGCATAAAAACTACATACAATTAATTGGCATCACAGCCACAGACTTGATTTCTTTTCAATTTACAGCAAAGCCAACAGATAATAAATTGTGTTACAATAAAAGAAAAAAATCTTAACTAATACAAGAATGCAGCAGGTACCCTTCAGTGAGGCTTATTCCTGCTCCAAGAAAGGGCATGATCTACCAGGAAAAAAGGCAAGTCCTTAGAATTCAGTCACTGAAGAGCTATGCTCTGATAAGTGGCCACTCATAATATGGGGCTACTGAAATATTAATTTAGGTTTCTTAAAATGAATAAGATTTAAATTCGGTCAAAGAGTTACAATCTAAGAGTTCAATATGCTGCGTATGGTTGGTGGGTCCTGAAGTGACCAGAGTAGACAGCTCACTTCTGTTCACTTTCATCACAGAAAACCCTACTGGAAAGTGCCAGAGGCAGGATGAGGAGTAGAAATCTTCCTGTTATATTTAAGAAAAGGGAATTTTTAGTACTTTTATAATGTGGTTAAAAAAGCCAACTATTTAAGGCTAAAATGGTGACAGTGGTGTAATGAAACACGGTAACGCTTAGTGTAAAGGATGTGGCAAAGGTTAATCTCCTCTAAGAGCTTTGAAAAAAGTGTCCTGAATTTTTAAGAGGTTCATAAAAGAAATGCAAGATAGAATTTTATCTTTGAACTCCGTTTTCATTACATTTGACAACTTCTCTGGCCTTTGGAACCTCATGTTAATATGGATTGTATTAAACATCATTAAGCTGATAAGTGGATATTTAATTAATATAATCTAACATTAAATAAATTTAACTTAAAATTGTAAGCCATGCCATTCATAGTCCAGAATTTATTAGTACAACTTCAATTTGATTTTACAACTGAGCATAAAATAATGTCAATGTTCTTAAGAACCTATCTTGTAAGTGAAGGTTCAAATCGTCAGCTATCTCTTTGTATAAGGATCTGAGATATACAACTATATGCATTGTTTTTAGGATGCTAAAAAAACCCCTGAATCTAGCACACTAAATTTCACTATTTAAAAAGGTAAATCATGGTTGTCCAAAAAGACTGTAAAGTAATAATTGATTGTTTCGATGACCACAGGTCTTGGTTTGCTTTCATACTGTGATGAAAACACTGATCAAAACCCCTTGGGGAGGAAAGGGTTTATTTGGCTTATAAGCACAGTCCATTATCAAGGGAAACTAAGGTAGGAACTTGGGGCAGGAACCTGGAACACACACTGTGCAGGATAGTGACTTACTGGCTTGCTCCCCAGGCCCATGTTCAGCCTGCTTTTATAAAACACAGGACCACTTGCCCAGGGGTGGCACAACTCACAGTGGGCTGGGCCCTTCCACCACTCATCAATCAGGAAAATGCCTCCCAGACATGGCCACAGGCCAGTCCAATGGAGGCAATTCTGCAACTGAGGCTCCCTCAACCCAGGTATGTCAAGTCGATAACTAAAGTTACCAGCACACGACACCATGGTCCAAGGAGGTAATGACTATAAAGCATTTAGGGGTGATTTGGCACATGAAGATTCAATAAATAGCAGATGCTCTCTTTCTAGAAACAATAAATTATAAGAAACATTCTCTGTCAGAGTACTATTGAGCTCAGCATAGTTAAAGCACAATTGAAATACAGAACTCACAAATATTATATATGACAAGGTACAGAAGGGGCATCAATCAAATGACCTCATCCTCAGAAAATACGGAAGTAAGGTCATCAGTCACAGAGAGAAAGGTTTGGGAACTAAAGAGAACCAAGATCTCTTAAACTAGGCATGGTGCTGAATAAAACAGAAAACCATTCAGAACTACAACACCAATTGTAAGCTAAGGTCATCAAAGTATATAAAAGAGACCTCAGCATTTTTATGTTCTAAAGCAACAATCAGGACTGGGGAGATGACTCAGTCTGTAAAATGAATGCAGTGCAAGCACGAAGGTCTGAGTTCAGAACCCCAGCACCCATATAAAAAGTCACACTTGCAATCCCAGCACTGAGGAGATGGAGAAAAGAGAACCCTGGAGCTTGCTAACCAGTTTAGCTGAGTCTGTGAGCTCCAGGTTCAGAGACAGAGCCTGTCTCAAAAAAAAAAAAAAAAAAAAAAAAAAAAAGAAAGAAAGAAAGAAAGAAAGAAAAGAAAAAAGTGAAGAGTATAGAGGAAGGCACCCGGTTTGACCACACTAGGCTGCCAATTTCCCGCTTATCTCTATGTGACAGAGCTTCTGGTTCAGTTACACTCTCTTCCAGGTCCAATTCTGGCTGAGATTCTGATGTTTGGCATCTATTCCACCCATAAATATTCAGAGTAAACCCACTGGCTTCTGGACAAGGAAAATGGGGGAAATTAACTTCTATTAAGGATCAAGTAAAGCAGGCAATTAATGGAAAAGACACCTCTCAATGAATTATAGGAAAGAGTGGAAAAAGAATTTGCAGCAACGTTAAAGACATGGGAGAATTTGATACCAACAGAAGGCAGTGTGAGGATCAGGCTGAGGAGCTAACTGAACAGTAGTACATAGGTATCCTTTGCATATAGAATGAAGGAGGCCACATCACACACTTCTTAAGCATAAGAGGGGCTGTAAATTCTTATATAGAAGACCCAAAAGAGCCAAAACCCTCCAGGACATGTTATCATAAGGAAATTCTTAAGAAAACCATTCATGATAAATAATCAGTGTAAGATTTCTGTTCTCTGAGAGTCACTGTTATGAATTCCCAACACCATCTACAGCAGGTCCACTCAGTCTTGTCTATGAAAAATTAGCATAGAGAATACACTGACCAAGCTCTACCTAGACTGAAAAACTGTTAAATCAATCTCCTCTGTCTTCCCAACAACCAAGTGTGCTGGGTGTCTATAGCTCAAGTTTGCAAAGTTAAGAGGGACTAAGTAATTGGCCAAAGATTAGAAAATGGATAGCAACATCAAAGATTCAAGTTCAAGGTTATTTTGTTCTAAGGTTATACATATTTCAACATACGACACAGCCAAAGAACCTAATCTAGGACTTCTTACCAACATTCCTCTTCTGAATTATCACTAATACTATCTTTAGTAGGTATCCCCTTAAATTATTACCAATTAGAAACGGTCTGCTGTCTATTGACTATGACCTTAACCTGCTTGATCCCCCAGTAACACTATCATTCTTTATTTTGGGGAATTTCCCAAGGTCTGTTCCTTCTTCTAATTCTAGGGTTCATACTTACTGAATTTTACTCTCTCCCAACACAGACATGCATCAGTTTTCTATTTTAGTGTCTGTAACAGATCCTTAATCTTGATAAATACATCATTAAATTGCACATAAAAACTTAATGAAGCAAAGTAAGTTCAATGCCAAGAGGCTAAAAGATCTAGATTCAAATCCGGACTTGTCTCTTCTTAGCTCAAAATCTTGACAAGTTCCTTATATTCACTAAATCTCTGTTTACTCATGTAAGAAAAAAATTATGACCATTCACTTTACTAGGATTTCTAGAACAGTCTGGTGTCACTTAAACAAGGACACATTTTGAGAAACTGTGAGATGGCTATATGTAAATTAAGCACTACAGTTTCATGGGACCAATCATTGTACATATAGTTTGTCAGTGATGGATATATTAGTCTACAGTACATGACTACTAAATAAACTAATGTTTCCACTTGGGTATAATGGCACCTGCCTGTAATCCCAGCACTCTGTAGGCTAAAGGATCGAGAGTTAAAAGCCAGCCTTGACACACAGCAAACATGAGCTCAGCCTGAGCTATATAAAGACTTAATCTTAAAAAAAAAAAAAAAAAAGAAAGCCCTCAACAGGACTCCTATGTTAAATGTCTGCCACCTAGAGCTCAGGGATCATGTGGAAGAGGAGACCAAAAGACTGAAGACTGTAAGAGCCAGGGGTCGTGGTGGATGGTCCAAGGAAACAGAGAATTCCAGATGGCTGAGAAGTTGCTCATATGAACTTATAGCAATGGTAACAGCATGCATAAGACCCATGCAAACTCAAACCAGACAAAAACCTAGTGTACACATGGGGATATGGGTAAGAAACACTGACTTTAGGCAAGGAATTAGTGGCAACTGATTGCGGCAGGATGAGGGAGAGTTAGTCTTTTTTAAAGGAGAGACACTGGAGAGGCTGACCACGCTCCAGTAGATGGACCCAACACTGAGGGACATATGAGGACACAAACTTGACTTGATAGGCTTTAACATATATGACAGAATGCATTAAATCCAGTGGGGGGCTATGAGGGGATTGCAGATAGGAGAGGGGTTCTAAATATGAACAAGATGTATTACATGAAATGCACAAAAATTCAATTAATTTTTTTAGGTAATGGATCTAAAGATCCTAACACAGCACAAGATATAGGAGAGAAACTGAACTGGGTACAAAAATGGCTACAACTTCCATGTTTTCTTCCTTTCTCCCCACCCCCCCAATTTGGTAATGTTGGGGATTGAACTCAAGACTCACCGTGCAAGGTAAGGGGTCTACTACTGAATACAGGCCCAGTCCCAGCATTTAAGAAACAGTCTTTGCATTTCAATCCTAAACTAATTCTGAGAAAGTGACATTGGTGATGGACTGTCTTTTTTTGATACATAAAAATCTAGACAGACAGACAGACACACACACACACACACACACACACACACACAGAGAGAGAGAGAGAGAGAAGAGGTAGGGTTATTTTGATATTGAGAATTCTGACCTGATGCTAGCAGATTTTGCTTTTAAGTCATTCCATCTTTGGTTCATGTCATCAAGTCGATGCTGAAGCATTGTAGCCTCCTCAGAATTCCCCAAAGCTTTTACCATCTTCTGCCTGTTTCCATCAATGCTTTTAAATATGTCATTGTGGGCATCAATTTCTGCCTGGATGTCCTAAAGAGAAAAAAAATCATAGAGACAATGCAAATGTTAAGAACCAGTGTAGACATTACTAGGGATTTCAGTACAGACAGCTATCTTTTATATTTGTAGATGAGTTGCTTACAAGCAAAATGCTTCATTTACTATCAGTTAATGATATATAGCATACAAAAGTGTTTCTACAGGTTTTACATTGAAAATAAGTCTTTTTTTTTTTGGTCTTTTTGAGACAGGGTCTCCCTGTAGCCCCAGCTGTCCTGGAACTCACTGTGTAGACCAGGCTGGATACATTTTCAATACATTGATTCCCTACATCTTAAAAGCAGAATGTATTATAATCTAAATTTCATGCATCAGCCTGTTTGATGTTAGTATTTTAAAGTCAATGAACATATTTTTGAAATTTTATAACTTATTATAAATCACTGAATTTTGCTTAACATTCAAAGACTATTTCTCTTCTTTCCACATGGGAAAAGCAAGATACCATATAATATTGGATTTTTTCACATTTTGACAAGTAATTTTTGTTTTCCCTTTCAATCTTATAAAATGTATTCTAGAACTTTGAAGAAATGCCATATATGCATTTAATTTCATCAAGAAATAAAAACAAGTCAGGTGAGTGGTGCATGCCTTTAAGCCAGGGAGGCTATGGGAGGATGCCATCTGGGAAGTGGGTGTATAGTTGAATAAGATGGTTTGGGATGTTCTGTGTGATATATACACACAAAAAAAATAAATCAACAAGTTTTTATGTATTATATTTGAGGAAGAAGCATGGAAATTTAAGTAATGTTAATTAGTAGAGGTGATAAACATTACCATTGAAATCTACCCAATTAGTTTATAGACAAACACAGGCCAAGGATCCAAGTGCAACTGATTATGACTAGTAATAATCAGATACATACAGATTAGAGATGCATGCGCCAACATCTCAGTGTTAGTAGCAAAAACAATGAGTCTTTCTGAAAGGAACAATATATTCAAAAATGAAATGCAGATGTTTTTTAAAGGTTAAAAACTCATTCAATTTTATGTATTACAGGGCTTTTACTGAGTTCAATACTGTATAACTGTATTAATTCAACTGTGAATCTAGAAATTTACAGCCACTTGTGAAAGAGATGTACTCTTGCTCTGGAGTGTGTTACTGAATAACTGTAATGAAATGCTTCTTCTAATCATGTAGTTACTAAAATTTTTTTAAAGAGTATTTCTCTTCTTTACACATGGGAAAAGCAATGTGAACTTCTAAACAGAAGGCAGACACTAGAGGGGACTGTCAAGGTGCGGTGCGCCTATCCATGGCAATAACTACTGGTATATACTACAGCAGTGCACCAGAGAAGTAGGCAATGAATCTGAATTAGAAAACGAACTCTCAAACTTAGTTTACTGGCCTTCTCATCTTAAGTCATCCTTTGTAAGCCTCTTACTATGCTCTGAATGTCTCTGTGCCCCTCCCTCTAATTCATACACTGAAGTCATAATCCTAAATATTATAGTTTTAGGAGGTTGAGTCTTGGGAAAATGGTCAGATCATGAGGCAGAGGCCTCTTGATGGGATCAATGCCCTAATAAAGGGAGAACCCAAAAGGCTACTTTCCCCTTTTCCACCACGTGATCCACTATGTGAGCAAGTAACTAGAAGGCACCATTTCTAAACCAGAAAATGGGCTCTCAATAGACACCAAATCTATAGGTGCCTCATCTTAGGTTTCATGGTCTCCAGAACAGTGAGAAATAAATTCTACTGTTCATAGTCTGCATTGTTCGGGGAACTTTGTTTCAAAAGCCCAAACTAAGACAAACCCATTTTTCTTAAGGGTCGCCAACTCTGAATGAGTGTAGGGAAAATATAAGTTCTTTGAATATTCAGAACTTTTTTTATTCATCTTAAAATCCATTTCTGAATCACTTTATCAGCTTTTTCACTAAGATCAAGTGTAAAATCCATTTCTGATAAGCATCCATGCATTTTGTCAAGAACCAAGGCTTAATGACCCACATTGAAGGGAATAATCTTTACCCATGGTCCTTCATTAACCAGAAGTCCTCATGAATGAAAGAGCCTTTTGCATCATGCTGCCCTACTTAGCATGTTAGGAAGATGCCAGAGCTCTGCACAATTTCTGATAGGACTTGTGATACCTGACTTGAAACTAATAAGGTCAAATCTAGAGAGTGGAAGAGATAAACACAAAGTGTGATGGACATTTCCTACAAGATTTATCCTCCAAATTTGCAAACCCACTGATCTCTGAGCTTATCTGACTCTGATGACAAAACTGAGATTCACCTGCAATGTTTTCTCTGCACGTCCCAAACTATCCCTGAGGAAAAACTGAGACAGCTGAAGCTTTTTAAATCATTAGCAGCTGTATTCCAGGGCAGTGCAAAGTAGACACATGGAGGGCATCAGGGAGAGAGAAGTATATGGATTCCAGGAGCTCGAGTTAGCCAGTATAATACACAGAAAAATGGAAACCTAATTCCCATGAGATGACGAGGGGTTAATAAAGGGAATGGGAGGATGGGGATTTGATTTAACATATTTTATTATTTTTATTTTATGTGTGTGAGTGTACTGTCTACATGTATGTGAGTGCACCCGTGTTGTGCAATGTTGCGGAGGTCAGAAGAGGGCTTTGGATTCCCCTGGAACTGGAGTTAAGGATGGTTTGTAGCCACCATGTGGGTGCTGGAAATCGAACCTGGGTCCTCTGTAAGAGCAGTCAGTGCTCTTAACTTCTCTAGCCCCGGGGAGGACAAGTTTTTGGTGTGTTCTCCAAAACAATAGCTTTCTTCTATCTATCTATCTATCCATCCATCTATCTAATCTATCTAATCTATCTGTCTGTCTATCATCTATCCAACTATCTGCCTACCTGTGTGTGTGTGTGTGTATTTACTTTATCCATGATCTCAAATGTTTAAGATTTCTTATAATGAGAACATTCAAAGTCCTATCTTCTGCCAAGGCTTGGTAGGATATACCTGCAATCCCAGCACTTGGGAGGAGAAAGATGAAGAATCAGGAATTCAAGGTCACCTTTAGCTACCTAGCAAATATGAGGCCAGCCTGTGATACCTTTCTGAGACCCTATCTTAAAAAAAAAGCAACAACAAAAACCTCCTTATTTTGAATTTGAAGATGCAATATTGTTTACTATCATCTATATATTATATAGATATGCACACATAAAAGTTAGAAAACCATTTTCTGTATATTATATATCTGTATAATCACCTTATTTCTCAAGAAACTCAATGGTGCAATGAACAAGGCCTCTCTTTGCTTTCCATTGCCAAGAGAACCTGGCCTCACATTTCCTGATCAGTTCCTAAGCATCATGATCAGTGGACCACACCTAAAATCACAAATCACCTTCAAACCACAACATCCTGACACAGTAGCAGAAAGAAGTACAGTGAGAAACATAAACAGTATATTACTTTTCACAAGAGCATTCCCCAGCTTCAGGAAGTTTGGAGACAGCAAGCATGAGGCAAATGTGCCTCCTCATATCACAGCAGCTGATGTGTTTTCCAACTCAGTAAAGCTGGGGAAAGGAGTCACACAGAAGGACTACATCACAGGCCCAGCCAATCCACCTAAAAGCTTGAGGGGAGAGCACTACAGTGATCGTATGTTCATACCAGAGTATAAGTTTCAATACGTGGAAAACCCTTCCATACATGAACATCATCAGAAGTTAGGAAGAGAAGTCAACAGCCAGAAAGTGTTCAAAGCTAAGGAAATCTAACATTCGGTGGCATAATTTTGCCAGATACACCCAGACCTCCTAAAAAACAGAAAATCATCTTATTATTTCTTCTGCATCCTTCACAGCCTCTGTTATAAGGAATGATTCTAATGTAAAACAGAACAGATAGAAGGCACATATATCAATGTTATAAGCCTATCTTGACTGACAGGTAAATTAGCCAGTCTTGTGCCAGGAGAAGACAGATAAAGAATTGGAATGCAACGTGGTAACCATTTGATTCAATTTCTTCACTCAAATTGAATATGAGGAATGTAAAATCATTTAGAAGTCTATGTCACAAAGTGCTGTCTAAGTTCTCACTGGATTTTAAAATTAAATGCAATTAATGAATAATGTTCCTTGGTAGATCACTATGCAATGATGCAGCGCTTTAAAGTCAAGAGGCCAACAAGGGACACTCTGAGGGCATGACCCTCAAGTAGCATCAATGTTAAAGTAAATTAAAGTTCCATCAAAGAAGGTTTCCTTTTGCTGACCATCAGGGAAGACTTAGCCCATCAATGTTTACCTCTGTCACCCACAAGCCCTTCAGAAGGTTATATTGCACCAAATGTTAATCTATCTAGAAGCACAAAGCAATTCTCTTCCAAGCATTTAACATGAGTTAGCCATGTGCACCCAGGGGTCAGAGCAAAATAATCAAGTAGTTGAGCTAACATCTGAAAACAGGGCAGGAGAAAAGTCTTAAGGCATAAGTATAATGAAGAAGGGTAAGAAGAGTGGAAGGGTTAGGAAAAGAGGATTTCTTTTCCTGTAACTAAAACACCATTAATATAGCATAAGATGTGAACTTTCAGCACAGCTCTCTAAGAAGCCTACGAAAGCTAACCTACAAAAAGCCAGTCAAGGTGTGCAAATGGGCAATTAGTTTTTGTGTGAATAACCCCCCCATACCCTGGTCAAAATAGCATCACAAAGAATACATTTATTTTGTATTTATTTAATAATTGATATTTTAGTGTCAATATTTTTCCTGGGCATTTCTTCAATGATATAATTCATAGAGATATAATTGAGTATTATATATATATGTATATGAATCTCATTATTTTGGTTTTGTTGTTTCTGTTTTTGTTTTTGTTTGAGATAGGATCTCACTATGTATCCTAGGTTGGTCTCAAACTCTCAATCCTCCCACCTTAACCTTCCAAGTGATGGGTTTATAGACATGGGCCATAATGCCTCCATTCATTTTGGTTCCTCTATCTTATAATC